AGATCAATTCTGTATTTATTTAAAAGCCAAAATATGTCTTTACACGGTAACTTAATTAAATAATAGATTGAACATTCGCCAAGTTTTTTAATATTTTTATTTAAAGAAGGATGACGTTTCGAGCTAGTGCTCTCTGTCAGATCATACAGCTTACAGATCGTACAGGTTACAGATCATACAGCTTACAGATCGTACAGGTTACTTAACAAACTTTTCCTACTTTCTTATTCATAAAGATTAGAGTACAATGTTTCATCAGTTGAGAACCCTCGCTGTTAACGATATTTTCGGCCATAAACCCACAATAACAAACTCGTGAGGTTCGATCACCTAATTAAACATAAGTTAGTCCTAAATAGTTATTGTTACGTCTCCTCTTGTTAATTAACTTTCCATAACTTCGTTCCGACGAAACTTTAGCGACACAAGTCCTTACTTAATAAAACTGGTTTATTCTTTCTGAATATAACTTTACCGATACACTTATTTTCAACAGTCGCGCTAAAACAAACGCTATAACGAACGTTAACTTCAACAATACTTTCTCACTGCAGATCAATTACTCACTACCTACACACATTGTTGTCACGTCACGCCGTGACCATCTTATATATACCAGACCACCCCCCAATCTAGTAAATGCTAGAGCACTCCCGAAGGAACGGGATAGTTCTAGAAAGCAGGTGGCGTGACACTAGTCACGTGACCTCGCTGACGCAACAATATCTTAAAATAATAATGCAAAACAATGTCTATATGAACAATCTGTTGAAAGTTAAAACTTTTTCTTTTTCCAACAGCCTCACATAACTTGTAACAAAACATCCATGCGGAAACTACGATGTAAGCTTACCAATAATTTGTTAAGTAACATCAAGACACGTGTCTCCAGAAATTGTGTAAATCAATGCGATACGTATCTAGGTACAAAAGTTTTACCAACGGTTTGTTACAAAGTTTGACAGTCTTGTCTGTAATTTATTATCTATGTTACTAACATTGTCTTATTTAAGTACTTCACACTTTATAGTGCTTTTTCAAATTCTCAGGTCTGATCACCTAAATTGCAGCTGGCAAGAGAAGTAAATAAAAAAGTTAACATCTGTCTGTCTATTTTGTTATTGTTAATTTATGTTACTTTGCATGTAATGTTTTTGATAAAAGAAATGAAGACAACATGTAGTACTCAATACTTATCTTCCTTTATTGAATCATTAATTTTTAGTAAAAATACTTTATTAGAAATTCTTGTTTTTTCTGTACAAAAGACTTATAATGTTTACTGAAAGCTTGCCAAGTTTCGTGAAGATACATAATATGGACGATGTATCGATACAATCGTATCATGGCTTCACGATACGATAAGAGTATCGTATCGCTTTATCGCCACACCTTTATATATAACTTAAGGACGGGGTGATACAATTTTTCAAAGTGAAGGTTGACGAAAACAGTGGGGAAGCTTATTAAGTGTAATTCCCACCCATCAAATGTTCTCTGGCAATTTTTTTTAAAGGGAGGACAATAATACACACATCTTGCAGTGCCAAAAGGAGAAAACAACAGCACAATTAAATTACGTAAGGTTCGACTATAGTTTAAAGCGGTTTGTAATCTTTGTCCCTGCATAGTGACAACACGTGCGTTGCCTTGGCAAAAACAGAAAGATGTATATATAGATGGATGGTTAGTTTGTTTGTTTTAATTATGCACAAAGCTACACAAGGGCTATCTGTGCTCTGCCCA